TGCAAATTATCACCTAACCCTAGTAATATTCATCATAGAACATAGTTACCTTTTAGAACCTGGTGCTCCACCTGGCAGATGAAGCAGTGTTCGTTTGTTTCTGTGATCTCTTCTTATGCGGGGCTATTGGACAACGCTATGCAGAGCTGTCTTTTTCTCTTCTCTAGCATCAGTCAAGTACCATCAGAGCTGGGTGGACCCCGTGGTCCGTAGGTATCAAACCCGGTATCCGAACTTTCGAATTAGCGGTTGTACGACCTACCACCCGACAACGCGTCTCATTTCATAAAAGTTTTAATAAATGTGCTTGTATTTATCTCTGCAAAATTACGTAATTACAATATGTATTTTATAATGAAAGTGAAAGTATGATTCTAAGCTTAACTGCCAAGATCTACTAATTAATTATGAAATTCATTGATTAATCTACTATATTTAGACTCAACATTATCCCGGAAACCGTGTTCTAAACATTTTATAAAATCAAATATATAGATATCGAATGCGTTTTGCCCACATCATATACTGCGACATTTGCTGCAGACACATGTTTTAATTAATGTACACACATTTTCTTTACTTACACATATCATTAAATGGCGGTCCCCAAACTGTATAACTTCGAAACTTTAGAAGGCCATTATATACTAATCGTCCAAAATTAAAGTCACCCAAAGAAAAACCTGTAATAGATTAACTTCAGACACAAACTTTTAAAATCATAGCTAAGGAACGGGCTGGCTTCAGACGCCCGGTGTAGCACAAGGAAGTAAAAACAATGTGTCCTCGGGTTACCTAGAAAATACCTCCAGCATCATCGCTACCATGATTTTGTGAACTTTAAGAAGGTTTTCAAAAGAGTATATCCCATTACACATTTTGGCACCATGAATGTCATATCCAAAAAATACTTGCTCATGCGCATACATATTAGCTCCGACTAGCCTATGACATTGGTAAGGCTTGGCGGTATTGAGTTTGCTCCGGGTAGTCACTTCGAGGAAATCTAATGTACGTTGAGCAAAACCTATATGACCAAGCAACACGCGCAGTCTACCTGGACAAGAGTATATTATGAGCATGGCTCAAACCAACAATTTGGATGAGGCAGAAATAACTGCTTTTACATAACCTATTCAATATCTTCTTGCAATGAATAATAGAATATGCTTCATACCATGACTAGACTGACATTATTGCCGGCAGAACATTCACTAACTTTCGTACGAATAGCGGACGACATCAATAGATTGGCAGGATCAGAAATAGAACTGGAGAACCTAGTAATACCATTGACAAAAAATATCAGTTGCATTTAACATGCAAAGTAATGCACGAGAAAACAAACTCACCCGATTAAAAATAATCAACAACTACAACGACAAGCTGCATATATAATAATGCGAAAAACTTCAAATATCGGAGCACAAAACCACCAGGGCTCTATGTTGAGTCTAGTTGTTTTTCTGCACGCCAGAAACATTCCTAACGGAAACAACAAATTGAATATCTTTGGAAAAAAAAAACGTCTATGCTTTTTGGGGCTCGAAGACTTTGGCCCTGGAGTCGATATTTACATTTTTTTTAATGGCTGAAATTTTTGCTGGAACTTACTCAATAATCTAACCAGTTTCATAGCGATCGGATGGATTAAGGGTGTAATACTAATGGTGCATATCTAATGTATATATATATATATATAAATATTTTCATTTTAATTGTTATAATATAAATAGAACTTTAGTCATACAACTTGAAAAACAAGTTAATTAAAAGTCTAGTGACAATTTAAGCGCAATTTCCTTACTTAATTTTTTTTTAAAAATGTGAAAAAATTATTAGGCCTAGCGAAACAAAACCTTGTAATTGTAACTCCCTATCACTCTCATATAAACTATAAATAAATTAATAGGGTGCAAAAATAACGTTTGAATTAATAAGTAAAAAAAAGACAACTATATTAAACTATATCAACGGAAATAGTTTTATTTTAACGAGTAGGCCTACAAGATGCTCAGTTTAAAATATCATCCTAGGCCTACACGATGCTCAGTTTTAATAATTTAAAAAAAAAAAAAATTGTGACCGAACGAAAGGATATTTTTGAAAACTTTCTTCGGCAATATTGTTCTAAATTATGGCAGGAATCGATTGGTAAATGTTTCAAGTCGCTAAGTGGTCTGGTTGCCGAGATATGGAGCAAAAACTGCATTTTTTCGAGGTTTTTTTTTTGGATTTTCCGGGAAATCCAGGAAGGAATTCCGGGAATTTTTTTGGTCCACAATCATCCTTGGAACTTGCTTAACATATTTGCTTTTGGAACTAGTCCTCGATATTGCTTCGTTGAGGAGGAGATACCTTTTAAAGCTGCGGACACACATCCATCCATCCATTCATACATCCAGAAATGACGAGTTAATAATCGCAATTGTCCGTGTGGAAATTGCGCTAAAAATTACTGGATTCACCTCGCCAGGGAATCAAGAAAACACACACAATCAGAACACGGAACAGAAGCCACCTGCAGTGTGTGAAACACAGTTCAAAAGCAGCCAACTAGCCGGACACCAAGCGAAATTAAACACGGACATCACATACTACGAATGTGAGTACTGCGAAGCTAGCTACGAACAACACTGTAACAGACTGTATTTGGTGAATTGTTGTTGAAGTGAAACGTGTGTGAGAGTTGAAAACCTCGCCAACGGAAGTGAATGCGTGTATTTTTTGCTGTTGTAAATAAAGTTGTAAACCGAACAGCAGTCTATCGTCTATTCTTGAAAGAAGGGACTCACAATAACACCCAGTTGTCGCAACCACAACTTAGAGTGTTACTAATACGATGATTATTTAAACACACATAAATACACAACCATCATGAACTGTTCGCTTGCAGACGGATCTATTTAACACTGGTTTCGGACAATTCTCTAACAATCAACCGTAAAAATAAACGTACTTGACAGTGGAATAGCCCAAGTACAAAGTATCTCTTGCTTCAAATCACTCTTCTTCAGAGAAATACAAAACTGCTAAACCCAATAGAAGCAAATATGTATCATCTTGTACATTTATTGTCATTTATATTCTTTTTATTACAAATAAGATTCTTGCTAAACTTACACAACATTCGCGAATACAGTGAACACTTTATTCTTGATGACTATATAAATGTATAGGTAAAAATTCTTGCTGTGCTTCTATTTTATTTTCATTATAATAATAAACCAATTATGAAACATTCAACTACGCTTAAAAACCTTTATAAAATGTAAATCACAGAAAAAATTGGATGCAATTTATTATATATAACTTTTATTTACAATGCACATTTTTTTTGTAAAAATGCAATATCAAACTTGATAGTAAAAAAAAAATGTCATACACAGAACAGTCTTTTCAATCTCTCAGAAAAGGAACTAGATGTAATGGAGGGAGGAAATTGGCTTGACCGAGATTAAATATGGTTGCGAAAGTCTGATTTTTGTTAGACTTTAGTAAAGATTGGCAGTAATTGAAGTTTTGTGCAGTATTTTCGGAAACAAAAAAAAAAAATTAAAAAAAAATATAACAATTGAATTGTTTACAATTATCATATACATTAAAGACAAAAATGGTAAAACTAGGTGACGTGGTTTTAAAAAAATGAATTTAAAAAAATTTATCTGCAAAGTTCTGAGTACAAATTACTATAAGTTTTACAGTGGGATTTTTAGAATATCAATCACAGAGTTCCTGAACAGCCAATCAATGTTAGTCTTACCAAAGTGAAACATCAGGATATAACTTAGGCTTGATAAAAATCAATAAAAATGCAGCCTTTAACTAAAAAAAAAGTTTTTAAAAAAATTCTCTGGATTTGCAACTTATATAACATTTATTCTAAAAATATTAAATTTCTGAATTATTTTCAGGCTTAAGTCTTTTTAAATATTTCTTTTACTGTAAAAATCTATTTTTAAAAAATATTATTTTTATCTATGTCTACAATAATGATGGAAGAATGCTCTTCAACTTGGTCACGTACATTACACTAAAAGCATATGGGTAGGAAGGATAAAGAATTTTTTCTTATGTATATACACAATTTTGTATATAATATAACGGTATTATAATATATTTCTTATAAAGGCAAATTACTTTAAAAATGTATGCTTAACTGTTTTTAAATAGCTTTAAAATTAAGTAATGCTAAAAAATAATGACTAATATTTATATTACTAATAATTAACTTTTTTTTAATTAATGGCTGATTTAAGCAAAGCAAATACTTCACAGATAAACAATGAAGTTTATTAATGCGTTAAGTTAGCATTTTCCTAGGCACAAGAGTATTAACTTTTAAATTGAGTATTGCAAAGCTTTTTTAACACTGCTATTCTAATCTATGTTTAAAGCGGTTATTTAGTGCATAGCTTTAATGAGAAAACTCTAATAAAGAGAAATGCAAATATTTTTTATCTAGGGCCTTTGAAGGTAACAGTCTTATATTGGCATTATTAATTCACTAAACTACTTCTATCTAGAACACTAATTCAAACTACTGCAATAATTACAATTTTAAAGTTGTAGAATCAGTCTTCAAAACAACATACCCCGCCTTTTAGGACATACCCCGACCCGAAAAATGCAGAAACAAATTTCCTACCATAGACAGTAACCCATCAGTAACGATAACACCGGTAACGCTAACAACACCAGTAACGCAAGCAAAAGGATATAAAAAATAGAGTGAAGATTAAGCATATGAATTTGGAAAGGGGGGTTAGGGACTTGGAGATGGCAATCTGGAAAGGATAGGTACAATATATAGTGTAGTGGGGTAATTACACTGTGTGGTAAATTAGAGTAGGTAATTGATCAGGATGATAATGACCGGGTCAGTGTTTCTTCCATACTTTTTCTCCGGGGCGGGGGGGGGGGGGGGGGGGGGGGGGGGGGGAAGCACTTGATATTTTTGGGGGCGGGGGGGGGGGGGGGGGGGGGGGCACACTAGTAAAAGTATAATTTTACTATATAAATTACATCTTGTTCAGGGGGGGGGGGGATGCCTAGAAGAAACTCTGGACAGGTAAAACTTCACGTTTTGGATAAAATTAAGGTTAAATTTTTGATTTATGATTATTTTAAGTAGGTTTTGATATTATTTTGATATTATTGGCAATTCTGTAAATATTATTTAACGTTCAATAAGTAGTGGTGGGTTTTATGTTTGTGGTATATATGGAGTATGCTGTATGTGTACAAGTTCTGATGCTTATTATATACATTTGTCTGACAAGGAATATTGAGAAATGGTAGTTGATGCCTAGGTCATTTTATAGAATCACATGCTGTTGCTGTTTTAAGAGCTTTAATTTTTCTTAAAATATTTTGTAAACAAACATATCTATAATATGGTTTATATTTGAAATATAAATGGCAATAGCAAAGCCTAGCAGATAACGGCTAGTGAGGAATGTATGCATAGACTGTTTAACCTTTTAAATTTTTTACTTGAAATAAAGCATAGTAAAGATTATAAATATATGAGAGATAAAAACTTTTTAACAGTATCAGTTATCTGCAAAAAAAAAAAAAGAAAATTAATGCAATAAATTACCATTGTATAACATATTGAGGTAGTGATTTGTAATTCAAGGAATACTTTAGTTTAATTTTATTTATTAATTGTATTACAAATTACACTGAATTATAAGTTCAAATTAATTCAATCCAAATATATTAAGCGATTGCGTTTTAAAACTAGAGATTTTAAATGCAAACTGTGACAAAAGGAATCTAATACTAAATTTGGAAATAATAATTAACATATTTTTAATAGTATGACTTAACAGTTTTTTTTATTTTGAGTACAAATTGTATTATAACAATACTAACCTTTGTCTTCTGTGTTTGCTTTTGCATATCTTTAAATAAAAGGAATACACACAAATAAATCTTGTGTTGATAGAAATTCAGTTTAACTTATTTATAATGGCAAACATCCAATATTTAGAATATATCTGCAATCCTTTTTAAATACTTAACAATGTATAACACAAAATTACAAGAATAAATATTTATATTTTCTGATTGTACTTACCGTTTAAGGTGGCGATCAGGTTCTGCAGGGAAACATTCAGAAGGAATATTTTAATGCATAAACAAAATGTAAATCAAGAAAAATATGTGCATATTTAAATGCTTTGAATTGTCTTGTTATGATAGATTACACATTTGCAACATTTATTATAATTAAAATGCAGAAAAGTCTTGGTATTTTTTATACAAATGAAAACTTTCAAGTCATGTGATTTAGTCAATGTCAGGTAAAAAAGATGCAATATCAAATTTAGGTGAAAGTCTTAAGACAATTATAAAATAAATAATTTTTATTTAGTACACTTCAATGATTTCTACCATGCTGATTTTGTCTTCTTATTATATTGAGGCAAGCTATATAAGTCTATAAAATAAGAATGATCATCTATTCTAGGGCACCAGGTGTGAGAGATGATGTGAAACAAGGATGTGGAAGAACAAATTATGTAATGGTTAACTTGGTTAAGTTACATGAAGAGAGTAAGGCTTTAAAAGGTGTGATAGTCTAATACAATGCTACATACCTTTCTTCTGCTCTTTCTTGCCCTTACATATGATTCTAAAATGCAAAAAACGAAAAAATAAATACTAATCTTTACATAATGTTCTAACTCTACAGTAAATGATTATATTTGATCTCAAATCTGTAACATTAAATATTTAATTCATTGAATACATGTTATTCACAATTTGATGTAAAGCTATGCTATTAGTACAGAATGCAATGAACCGATCACATGTGTAATTCAGAAGCAAAGGCAGTTAAATGAATTATTAGAATCTAGAAACAAACTTCAAGAATATGATAAGTGAAAAAGATATTAGATTTTTAAAAAATCATTTAGTATAAATTGAAGTAGCTAAAGGCTTTATAGCTTTGGGGGCATTTGGGATTCACAAATTGCCAAGCTATGTCAAGGTTCAAGCACTAGTTGGCTGACATAATAGAAAAAAGAAGATGATGTTGGACAGGAATGTATTGAGGGTAAAATCAGATATTTCAGTAACATCACAAATTTGGGATCAACAAGGGCAAGAAAAAGCAAGGGCCTAGGGAGACATGTAGACACGCAACCTCACTGTGATGACGCAAGGTTGCGTCGGAGAGCTCAGGTAGATAGCAGAAACAGGCTATAGCGAGTTGGTCAGAGAGAGACCAATAAAAATACGTGAACTGACCGATCACGTGGTACGGTCAGCTGACCACTGAAGCGTGGGCTGCTGTTAGGCCGGCAGTTGATAGGTAGCTAGCGAAGAGTAGAGAAGGTGTTAGGAAGCGGTCAGAGACGGTCGAGATATGTAGGGCTAGGTAACAGTCGATAATTAGTGAAGAGAACGGTCAGATAGGTAGATCTAGGAAACGGCAGACAGTAGTAGTAGAGAGTATAGAATAGGCTAGTTAGTTAGGTAGAACTTGATTTTATAATTTTAATAAAGAACATTTTGATTTTTGAACTGGAACCTGTGTTGGGTATTTCTGTCATCATTTTTTCATTTTAAAACACCCCCACCCTCACAACTGGTGCAACTAGAAGAACCTCAAACGAAGATCCTTTCGTACCATCACACTCACCAAAATGAAAAAAGAACTGGCAAGATATTGAAAAGCAAAGAGAACTCATAAAACAAAAAAACTATAGCCCTATCACAATTTGATACCAATGTTTGTCTACTAAATCCAAGGTATGTTAATATATTACACAAAAAGCCAGTGTCATTTTCTGAATTCAAGGAATTATATTTTAACAAAATATTGCTGAATTTTATTTTTGAAGTTGTATAAAGCTAATAAATTAAAACATTAACAAAACTTAATCTGCAGCAAGGCATTCACTGTACCTTTATTTCATGCAAAATTGAAATAAAAAGTTAAGCTAAGTAAAGATCTAATAACTGTAATAGGAATATTACCAAGTATATTATAATGTTGCTATATTTATTTGATGATAATATTGAATCTTGGTTTTGTTTGTATTTTTAAAATCATTCAATCAATTCCTCCACAACAGAAATCATTTGACCAAACTACAAAGAAACTACTATTTTACAATCTGTCATATTGTTTCATTACTTACCCTTTTCGTTTTAGGCAAACTGAAAAAAAAAGTTTAAATTGGGCATTTAGCTTAAAAGAATTGGTTAGATTATTATTAAGAAATTAGTTTTAAAATAAAATGGATTCCACCACACAAACAGATTACTGTCAAATAATAAGTTATTGCAACCACAAGATTTTAAAGGTAAATTATAAGCTTGTTGATCTTTATCAGTGTGCAAGGTATGAAAAATAGAGAAAAGCTTGAACGTAACTTCACATTTGATGTTAATTTTATTAAAGAAAGAGGGGAATGACCATTTTGTTAAAACAAATGTGTAGCTCAAGCCACTAAAAAATGCTTTTTTTAAGACAGATTTATAATGGATTTATTATTCTAAAACAGTAGATTTTACAATCAAATGTTAAAACTAATTAATGAATATATAGCTACATATACATATAAATAAATATAACTGAACATTATTTTTAAGGCATTGCATTTCTCTTGTGGGGTGACTTAATTTATCGAGTTCTAGACAGTTTTATGTAACAATGTTTATTCCAAATGTTCGCCAACTATATCTAGATATCAGTAATTTTCAACATCAAAATCTTTAAAATTCTGCAATAGTTTTTATTGAGATTTTTAAAAATAAAAGTACTTACATAATATGCATAGTGATAAGACTACAGCACACGCTACGGCAATTACAACAGCAATAATCAACCTTGTTCTTGATAGTTCAGACTCTTGAGTTTAGAAAAAAATAGAAGATATGTTCAAAATCTTTATATTTTAAATTAAACTGTCAAAGCATTATGTTGTTATTTTCCAGTAATAGTAATAGTATAAAAAAAAAAATTATATTATGTGTTTTCAATGAAAAACAATACGTTTCAGCTATTTTATTACATTTTCAATAAGTCAACTGGGAATAGGCCTGATATTTTTGGTTGGAACTGTTAATAGATTTAATAATAAAAATCTTGCCACTGAGATGGTGCAATAAGTTCAGATGGAGTAGTACATGGCTCACAGTCCAGAATGTTCAGTTCTGGATCAACAGGATTCCTGCCTCTTGATTATTTATTTACCATAGCAACATAATCCATTCTTTTAAAAACAAAAATAAGTGTATAATTGTTTTTTTTTTTTTATTTCTTTATGTTAGCACACACGATCTATCATTATTTTAAAAAAAGATTTTGTCTGCTAAGCTTAGGGAATGAATTATTGAAAATGCAGAAGAAAACATTAAAAATAGCTGATTAATTACCTTAGCCACATGCTAATTTAAAATGAATAAAGAGTATGACAAACTGGTAGGCTATTTTGCATACGATTTGTTCTTAATTTAAAAATAAATTGATAATTGTCTGCAAATGGTTTGCATGCTTATTCCCAGTCTACCATAGTAATCGACAGGTGTCTGGGAATAGGCCAGATATGATCATTCAAAGCCAAATTATATATGAGCCAGCCTTATAATTTGGGCTTTTGCCCTTGACCAAATGTGACATCATTTAATAGTTTGAGCTCCTCCACTGTTTTAAAGTACAGCCATTTTAGTTTCATGCAAGCTTTGGTAGCAGTGTTTTCTTTCAAGCATTGGGTGGAAGGGAGGACGGGGACATGGACACAATAAATAAATATTAAATTTATACAGATAAATTATAATTACCCACTCCCCTTCCAGGGCAAAAATGAAAGAAACCCTGCTTGTTAGTGAAAAGATAAATACAAAAGGTAGCTACAGTGAGGTTAATTCAATTAGTAATATAGAGATGAAATGTATAACTCCAATGAAGACTTGTTTATAATAAGCAAACCATGTTAGTAGTTTCTTGGTATGTTATGGATTAAGATGGATGCATTATTTAATTTTTATATTCAACTAAAACAAATACTATACTAAAAATGGGCCACAGTTAAAACCCCACTAACACTTAGAATTTTTCCCTGCCTGTTGTATATTTCAGTAGAGGATTAATACCAAATCAAACAAAAATGTTTTAGAATGAGGAAACAATTAACCAAACAAACTCACAGTTACAAAAAAAAATTATATTTTTTTTTTCAACATATTAATACTAGTCATGTAATAAAACATTACCATTTATGAACAGATTACCTGTATATTCATTGATGCATGATTTGATGATTGGTTTATAAGATGCACTTTGATCTTTAAATACAAAGGTCAAATTAAATTTTTCAAAAGGTTTATACACCAACTCTGTACATTTACCAACAGAATTATTTAATTTCACTCCATTGTTGTAAATGACAGGCTTGCATGACCCATAACAGCACAATCGAACTATGGAAAATGTTGAATTGCATGTTACTACACAGTCACCATCATCTTCCACTTTGCTGGTGTTATCTAATCCGGAATCTGAAAAAATAGTATGTTGAAATATTAATTGTTTAAATAAATCTTTACCTTACAAGTAATTTGTGATACCAGGCCTATTTATATTACTGGCAAAGCTAGAAAGTTTGAATCAGTAGCGTTTCAAGTGAAAACAAAAATAGATAGAAAAAAATCATTTTTCTTTTGTATGTTCTACTTTTCCTAGGTATGTAGAAGGTCAAGCATTTTTCTATGCAATGTGAGAAGTACTTTTATTGTAGAGAGGTTTAATTACAAAAAGTCTTTAAAAATAATTTTTAAAATTGACAACATAACAATGTCTTCAAATGATTCTAAATAGCAAATTTTCTTAAAAGAAATTAAAAAAATAAAAATTAACATGTAACTCTAGGCATAATGTAATGTTTATTTTAGTTTTCTTGTAAATTGAATTCTTTTTTGTATGTGCTCAAAAAGATCTATGTGTTACTTTATAGTTTCAACACCTCCAGTCTCATTAGACTATTGAAATAACACTGTAGACCTAATGTTGCAAATTCAATATTGCTAAATTTTCTGGATAGAATACACTTAATTCACACTTTATTCAATTCTCCATTCAGTATTATATAGAAGGCTTAGAAAAAAAAATATATATGATTTATTACAACACACACCTGGCACATTTAAAATATTACATAGAATAACTATTTTTGTACAGCAGTTTTTTAAGTGCTGGTTATCCATAGTTTCCTTCTGTTAAGGTTTTATCCTAATTTCACTATTGTTTCTGGACAAGATTCATTATGTTCATCCCCAGCACCAGACAGCCATTGAATTTGATAAGTTTATGTTGAGCATATTTGTTGTTTTACTGACTTTGATTTACCTTTAAAATTTTGTAACACTGTCCTGATAATTTTCTATTTCAACTGTTCTCACATACTTCACATTGTAAACAAAATGGTAAGATCAGGAGCAACATTGTTTACATTTAATTTGTGAGTCTATTCAATTTATATACTTTTATTATTAACCAGAAAGTATATATTTTAATCAGAAAAAGTGATATATCAGATGGTGAATATAACCTGGAGGCATTGGAGATGTACACTTATATGTCAGTGCGTAGATGAGATTAGCTGCATTGAGCTCAGTAGTTCTTTTGTTTTAGTTTTTTCATTAGTACCACCATTATATATTGTGATATTTTTCCTATTTTAGTAGTAAACTGAGTATATTTAAACAGTTTATTAAAGATATTGTTCTCTCTTGAATATCCATTCTACTGTAATTCTACTGTAATTTACCCATGATATATCTTTTCTTACCATCGACTCAAAGTGTTCACTAGATTCAAAATCACCTTTGATTCTTATTACCATCTACATAGTTTTCTGGCTAATTTATGGTTTTTTTTTTTTTTACACATTCTACCACCTATAAAGAGCTATAACTATATGTAAAACTAAAAAAATGAATGCAAATGAAAAGGAAATTTTACAGCAAGCACAACATAAATTGTCAATATAAATAGCAAAATACAATTAAAAAATTAAAAATAAACAAAGATTGTATAAAAATAGACCTTAAAACGGGAAACCTATTTTAATGTCAACAATCTTAGTATACTGAAATTATCATTTGGTAATAGTGTCTTTTGGCTTATGATAAAGCTTACATGTAAGTTTTGAAGAGAAAATTAACTAATATTTTGGTAACACATAAACACATTGAATAGGTTTGATGACAAGATGAAAGTAACTTACTAGTAATTAAAGGCAGTTTGCGCGTTGGGCTGTAGATAATATCACCATTTGTTGAATGCAATGCCGCCCTTATCTCAGCTTGACTGTACTCTAATTTTGCTATTTTTGTTATTATAAACTGTTTAAAATTTTCATTGGAACAACTGTAACAATAGCATCCGTTAGTTGAAACCACTGAATCTTTAGTGCTTGTGTCAACTGAACACATCTGGTTTTTAAATTAAAAGAATAAAAGAAATAATCCAATATTTTTTAAAATAATAGTTGGAGGTTTAGACATACTATAATACTACAATGATGTAAAATAATACTAATAGCTATCGTAATAGTTTATTCTATAGCAGTGCTTATATATGGTGTTGAAAAGTTAATTTAAAGATTAGTAGTAGAGGATTTTAAAACATACATTGACTCAGAGTTAGAGAGGAGGTATTATATTGATACTTGTACTTATAGTCAAAGAGTGATGGTAGGAATTTTTAAACATATAAGATTCAAGGCCAACGTAACTCGTCAATAGTAATTGTGACACAACATAACTAGGCTAATTTTAATTATTAAGATTGCAAAGACAGAAAGTATTAGGACAGTATTTAGTTATCAACATATCACTAAATCTGTTTCAACAGGCTGTACAAACCTCAAATATATGCAATTTTTATATAATTTTGCAGATAATGATAAGTCAACCCTCTCTAAATGTAGACATATTAAAGTCAGCTGTACACAGTTTAAAAAATGTATATTTGGCAAATGCTGCGCAACCTATCATGACTGGTTCATAATAAGAATAAAAAATGTGTGTAATGATTTTAAGAACAACTGAACTTAATATTATTAAAAAAAATCCTTCTTACTATCTTCTTCTTCGTTCTTAATTATTAGTGTTGAAGGGGATCGAAATTTATCTGCCAGTGGGTTTGAACTCGAGACTTTGTTCGAATTTATCAAACATGAGCTTTTTGCCGACTCGACCACGCCTCCAACACAATTAAGCGTTACGTGTCAACTGGTTATGCGCCATTGAGGCCATTGACTCCGATTTCAGCCTGCTTTTCTTTTTGGATTTGCTTCCATAGCCTTTGTCCAACCAAGAACAAACTACAAGGCAGCAGTTGTTTGATTTTGGAGTTGTCTCTCCTAGAAGAGTGGCTGTCCCCAGCTAACGAGCCTCATCTGCCCGAGGGTTCGAACTCGAGACTTTTCGGTTTAGCAACCATGAGCTTTACCGACTCGACCACGCCGACCCCCCCTTCTTACTATGAAAATGATATATTAGAAATAAAGACCATGTAACACTGAAACTGAATATTTGTTGGGCATGGGTCCTTTGCATTAGTCTTTTCCTACAATTTAGAGAACAAATCAAAGTGCTCTGAACCTGTAGTGCAGCATTATACAGCTAAATAACTCCATATCTTATTTCAAATTATTCTCATCTTAGTACATTATATCAGTCTCATTTCATGCTCCTCTCCAAAATTAATCTTTAGTACTTCTTTAGGTTATTTTAATTTAAAAAAAAATAGTGTGTAGTGTTATTAAAACAGATGCAGTTATAAAAGCTTGACTGTGTAGTTTTTGCATGACTTTTCTAAAGAGTGGATTTTATTTTGTCATTTTAGTAT